AAAAAAAAAGAGGAAAAGAATCCCCAAAAGGAGAATATCAGAGTGCCTGGTGAGTATTGAAAGCAAATAATGTTTTATGAAACATTGTTTTGATGTTACAGATACGTGTTTATTGAAACGGGCCTATTGGGTTGCAATATAAATTCATTTCTTATTGTGGGTCATTGTCAAAAAAGTTTGAGAACTAGTAATTAAGGAACTACAGTGGGGTTTCTGAGGAATCCCATTTCACTTGGAACTTTTTCTTTCTTCCCCATTTCCAAGCACAGTAGAATATATGTGTGAGCCATGGCCTCTGTCTCCCTCCCTGCAGATTTGGCTTCCCAGGGCCACCTGGACCTCACGGAGCTCATCGGTGTCCCGCTGCCCTCATCTGTGTCCTTTGTCACGGGCTATGGTGGCTTCCCAGCCTACAGCTTCGGGCCTGGTGCCAACGTTGGCCGCCCGGCCAGGACCCTCATCCCACCCACCTTCTTCAGGGACTTTGCCATCAGCGTCACGGTGAAGCCCAGCAGTGACAGAGGCGGCGTGCTCTTTGCCATCACCGATGCCTTCCAGAAGATCATCTACCTGGGCCTGCGGCTCTCGGGCGTGGAGGATGGCCGCCAGCGGGTCATCCTCTACTACACGGAGCCAGGCTCCCACGTGTCTCACGAGGCTGCTGCCTTCCCGGTGCCCGTGATGACCCACAGGTGGATCCGCTTTGCGGTGGTCGTCCAGGGCGAGGAGGTGATCCTCCTCGTGGACTGCGAGGAGCACAGCCACGTCCCCTTCCAGCGGTCCTCCTGGCCCTTGGCTTTCGAGCCCAGTGCAGGAATCTTTGTGGGCAATGCAGGAGCAACGGGGCTGGATAGATTCACCGTGAGTCCAAGCCCTGCAGATCAGGGAGGCCCCTGGATGCTGGGCAACCAACCCAAGCAACTATTCTCATTATTTTGTTCTTAGAGCCTCAGAGAGGCGTGTGTGTGCGGCGGGAAGAGCTCTACTCCTGGGGCCCAAAACCTAGATTCCAGTCCTGTTTTCAGTTTAGCCTGATGACGTTAGAACATGGATTCTCTGATCCTCTCTGGTCTTCTTATCTGTACGCAATGATAAGCAAACCTACGCCGTGGAGTGGTAGAGTCAAGTGGGATGGCCTGAGTGAAAGCTCTTTGTGCATTTTAAGACATTATAAAAGGAGGAAGGTTTATTATTTCTTCAGCAATTTTTTTACCTTTGGAGAGGAGTGCCAGGTGCATTTAAGTAATTTCTGCAAAGGTGGAGGCGGCTAGAAGGCCAGAGGGAGAAGTAGCTTCTCTCTCTCCTTTTGGACAACGTGCCCTGAAAAAATAGCAGAAAATTAACTCTCCCATCAAAACAGGCTTTTAGGAATAAGCCATTCTAAGAAAATCCCTAAGTTACTGTAGTTACGCATCTAGTCAGCACACATACTTAACTGATACCTTAGCTAACTGATACAAGATGGTACCGGGGGAAGAGTTTGGGTTTACTCTTAGTACAGCGGGAGACAATGAGTGAATCTGAAGAAGTTAAAATCCAGTTACAATTTTTCCACACTCACTTTGGGAGCATCATGGAGAACGAACTGTCAGGGGTGGATAGAGGAGGCAGGAGTGGAGGCAGGGAGGCTGGCTGGCCACTCCTCTTCACATGAGGCCTGCCAGCCAAGGAGCTTCGAGCTACAGGGGAAAGACACTTTCTGGGAGAGGGGAGACAGGCATCCTAGGGTACCCACTTACAGGCTGGGGACCTGGGACCAGTTAGGAAGCTGCTGTGAGTCTGTGCTTTGAACACAGTATTCCCCAGGGGCTTCTCCAGCTAGTGGAGCTCATATTACATTGGCCCAAGGAGGGCCCTGTAAATGAGAGCAGGCCAAGAGGTGGCTTGTTCCCTTGTCATGGCTCCAGGCAGCACATTTCTCACACCTGTCCTCTCTCTTGGTGGCCTGTTCTCCGTTCCAAGGACAATCATGCTTGCCACTTGTGGTCATGCTGTGGGCGAGCAAGTGGTGGCTTCTGACCCTGTGCTCTTCCCCCAGGGCTCCATACAGCAGCTCACCATCCACCCTGACCCCAGGATCCCCGAGGAGATGTGTGAAGCCGAAGGATCCTCGGTGAGCCCCCATCTCCCCTGCCCCCGCCCCCAGCCGCCAATCGGCCCGGGACGGCTGGACGCCCAGGCAATTCCTCTTTCCCGACGTCATGGAGTCTCTAAAATCTCTCAACTTGTCAAGCGCTGCCTCAAGTCCTATTTTGGGCTTTATTTATTATTTTTTTTGAGAGCTTCAGCCATCTCTTTTGTGGGGGCGTGGGGGGTTGGGGGTGGGTTGCGTTTCTTCTAAGGTGTTAGGTTCTTCCGTGGCTGTGGCAGTCCGTGGCCTGGTTTCCAGACTTCCTGCCAAGAAAGGGTGTCAGGATTCTGAAATCAAAGTTAAAACTCTAAGGCATGAGTGAAAATTCCTATAAAAATGAACCTAAATTTAGCTTTTATGCTTGGCAAATGAATCTGTTCCTAAGTTGGGGATGGAGTGGCAGGCAGGGAAGAAAGATGGGTCCTTCCATGCCCCCCCCTCCCCTTCTGCCTCCCTCCCTGCCCCCAGGATCTACGGATCTACTGAGTCCCTGCTAGGTGACAGTCCTGGGGGATGCTGGAAATAATGAGACACATTGGCAACTGTCTCTGTCCTCAAGCTGCTCACACACACTTACACGCCCAGAGGCAGTGACAGAGCTAGTGGTGACTGGAACCCGGGAGGTCCTCAAACCCAAGCTCTCTGGGTTGGGTGGGGGACATGAAGGTGAAAGAAGAGGAACCAGAGTAGGCAAGGGAGGAGCTGATACCTGACCAGTGACAAGCAAGTATCAGCTAGATGAGGGAGAAAAGGCGTTTCAGGCAGATGCCTTAGCTTGATGCAAAAAGTCAGAGGGGAGCACAACGTGCCATATTCCTAGAGCTTCTGTTTCTCTTTGGGGGGGGCGGGTATCAACCCCAAAGCAAAGCATAAGTTGATTTCATTCATTTAGAAAAAAATGCTTCCTGTTTAGTGGGAGAGCCCTTCAGAGGTGGAATTTGGCTCTGTAAGAATGTTTGCCCTCCCTGAGGCCATGATCCTGGCCTGACGTTCCTATGAAGCTGGGAGGAGGGAAACCTTCTGTATATTCATACCCTTCTTTCTGCAGTGTTGTTAGGACTGGAAAGGTAGAAGCTGCCCAAGAGTCCAAGAGTAAGGTATTATTTAGAAAATGATGGCCCCCAGGCTCTCTGGCTGACATCAGACGACTCATTATGAAGATAAGGTAGCAATAGGAAGACATTCTCCAAATGTCATGGTTCTCCAACGTTCATTCGGTGGATAGCCATGCAAATGGGAGTACCTCTGGCAGAGATTGAAGGGACCTGGACATAATGAAAGTGGGTATGTTAGAGAGACTGTATATTGACTGTAGTTTCTCATCTGCGTGAGCAATAAAATATGGAATGAACAGTGAAAAGAATAGCCACTGTGCTCTCTCTCAGTTCCTCTCTCTGGCTCTGTCCATCTCTTTCTCTCTTACACACGCACACACATACACACACACACACACACACACACATGCAGTTTCTCCAAAGGAGTGACCGTCTGTGACTTCTCCTCTCCCGGCATGATTTGTCTCCACACAGGCTTCAGGAGAAGCCAGCGGGCTTCTGGAGGCAGAGGGCGTCGCTGAGATCTTGGAAGCTGTCAGCTACACTCAAGCGCCGGTGAGTCCTTCTTCTCCGGCAGAAGCGCCGGACCTCTTGGCCAGCTTTTAGGGGCCCAGAGTCAATGCAGCGTGCCTGGGCCTGACATCTCTGTTCTTAGATCTGTGGCTTCAATTGTGGGCTCACCTGGGGAGGTCAGGAAAGTCCTGGCCAAAGGCATTTGGCCACAGCCCCGGTGCCCTGGAATGCCCGTTATCTCTGGGCCACCTTGTGCCGTGGCCGCAAGAGGACTGTCCAAAGGCAAACATTGTGCTGTCCTGCCTCCCGGCTCTGTGAGCTTAGGTAGCGTACTCAGCTTCTCTGAGCCTCAGCTCCTCTTCCTGCTAATCAGAGTCCTGTCTCAAGGACATGTTGGGAGGGTCAGATGAAGCAGTGCAGGGTCAGGGCCTGGTGTCTGGCACGAGGGAAGTGACCTTGAATGCTGGCTGGTGTCACATTTGCTCCGGGCTCTGGGCTCTGAGAAAGAAGGCAGGGCCCTCTCCTGGGAGATGCAGAGTTTTCCCAGGAGCTCCCTTCTGGCCCCATGAGAAAGGCGGCCATCCTCACAGTGATGGGGGCCTCCTCCCTCCTGGGAATGTACTCTGTGGCCCAGACAAGGAAGTGGTTTTGAAAGCACTGAGTCAGACTGTGGGGACGGCTGGAGCCCATTTTTAATGAAAACAGCCAGCAGTGTCTGAGTCATTGAACGCAGAAGCCCAGCAATCTCCTTGACTGGTCTAGTACATTCTATAGACTCATCTCTGATAAAAGAAAGCAAGGGAATAAGGCAGAGGCTATAGATTATAGACCTCTGGTGACAGAGGTTTGGGTGGGGCAGAATAGAACTGTAGTCTGTTAGTGCAGGGGGTGGTGCTTAAAGTTACCCTCTTTCTGTACAGATGTATATGGAAAACTGCCCTTTGTACAGATGGGCAAACTGAGGCCCAGACAGGGGGGGACAAGATTGGCCCTTGGGTGCCTGGACAGAGCTGAGGCTCGAGCATGGGCCCCCTGATGCCTCATCCAGGGGTCAGGCTACAGCCCTGTGCTTCTGGCCTGGGCGGTGTTGCAGAGGTTCATCCCTAGGATCACAGCCAATTCTAGGGCAGCTGAGATGGAAGAGGCAAGGGTCCAAGGTGGTCTGGGCGGTGATGGGGATGGTGGCTGCTCTGGGGAGTGTTGTAACCCTGTGTGCCACAGCTCTGGGCCCCCCCGTTGGCGTGTCCAGGGCACCTGCAGCAGGGCACAGAGCAGTGGTCCCTTGGGCCTTCTAGCCTGATGCGGTCCCCCAGTGTACCAGTTCACAGCTAGGCTTGAGTCCAGCTCAGGCAGAGATGCCAGTAACACATGGTGGCCTCGCAAGAGGGACGGGAAAGGGGAGTGAGGTTTGAGAGCGTGAGATGATCATGGCGGCAGGGACTGGTCAGGGAGGACTTTCTGGTGGAGGAGGCATTGAAGCTGGGCAGCTCTGGACAGGGGTCGAGAAAGGCAGGGGATGGAAGAGGACCAACATTTCTCGATACCCGCTGTGGGCCTGGTGCTTATGTATACGTGACTTGATTTAACCCTTGCAACAGCCTCGCACGGGAGGTGGCGGCAGATGCTCAGGGAACAGGGTGGCTTTGCCAGGGCCAGGCAGTGGTGACGTCAGGACCTCAGGCCGCAGTGCCGCAGGTGCGGGGCAGGTGCACGAGGACGCTGCAGCCGGGAGGAAGTAAGGAATACATCCCTCCAGGATCTGGAGAAGAGAAAAGACATTTGAGGGACTCAGTGGTCCCTGGGGCCTCCCCGAACACTTTCCTTCCTAGACTTCCCAGCCCCATTGTCCTCAGTGGTGTTAAGAGAACTGGTGCGTATCCGAGTCCCACCAGGTGTGGTTCAGCTCGGCCCCTTACTCGTTGTGGACCGAGAGTCAGTAACTTCCTCCTCCTGGGTTGAGATGTGGCGTGCCTACATCACAGGCTGGTGCGAGTTACGTGGCCCCCGTGAGACACGGGCAGCACTTGGCACACGGCAGCCCTCGGTGCGTGGTGGTGGGTGTCGCTCTTGACTGGTAAGTGCATTGTGCTAGAGTGCCCTGTTCCTCTTGGGGCCCCCTTCCCACCACCTGCTTCCTGGTTGGCTGGAGACTGGGGCTGCGGGGCATGCCAAACCGCTGTGGTTGCCCTTAGTCCTTAACAGAATTCTCTCTGGGCTGTGGGTCCTGATGCTAACTGGTCTGTTCCTGGTATCAGAGTCCCGTTCTCAGGCTCCCGGCGTGGCTCCTGCAGAGCGTTCACTTTCCTTTGCTGTTTGCCGGGAGGTGCTTTTCCATTCATTCCTCAGAGGAGGCACTGAAGCACAGAGGAGCGAAGAGCTTTGTCCCCAGGGCTGCCCAGCCTGGAGGTGGCAGAGCCAGGTCTCCAGCTCTGGTCTGGGGCTCTGTCAGGCATGTCACCATCTCCTGGAGGGGCTCCATGGCTCCCCCCCGTGGCCACCCCTCCAGGACGGGGGAATTTTCCTCTTCATGCAGACGTTCCCCTTCCATCTCTGTCTGGCTTCTCTCTTGGAATGAATCTCAGTTCCCTGTCCTCACCCCTTCCAACCTGCCACCCTGCAAGACACAAGCCATGACCAGCAAACTGAATTATGGGCTGCCTGAGCAGACAGGGACTTAAAAAGCCAGCCCTCCTCACCTCTTTCCCCATTTAGGGCAGGAGTCCCTGCTACCCCATGCTTCCCCCTAAGTCAGCTTCTGTTGACATGCCTTTCCATTTCTGGAAAGTTCTATCATGCTTAGTTAGAATTAATGTCCCTATGGTTCTCAGCCCTGGCTGTGCATCAAAATTGTGTGTATGTCTTGGCAGGGGGTGGTGGGGCAGTGGCGGGGGGACAGTTGCCTCTGGGCTGCATACCTGGACATTCAGCTTCAGGGGGTCTGGAGTGAGGTCCAAGAAAGTGTACATATGAAAGCTCTGCAGGTGATTCTGATCCACAGCCAGGAGCTCTCTTCCATCCACACCTAAATGCTCACAGTTTTCCCAGACTCCGTAAACATTTGTAACCTCTTAGTCCAGGCCTTGGCCCCGGTGGTCTGTTTGCCTGGAGGGCCCTGCCCGCACCCCCCACCCTACCTGGCCAATTCCTAACTTCTCCTTCAGGATCCCTTGTTGGAGCTTCCCTCCTGCACTCGGCTCTCACCTCTGCTGTCCCACGCGCCACATTCAACCACACCGTGTCTGAGTCTGGGTCTCCCCATAGTCCAACAATGTAAGGGTAGACACTCTGTCGTATTTTTTCATTTTTGTATTCCTGGGGGCCAGCGAAGGACCTGGCACACCATAGGGCCTCAGGAAATAGATGTGGAATGAATAACTCTGTGAATGAGAGAGAGGCTCAGCAAACCTCTACACTTCTAATACAAAGTCTTGAGACTCGACAGTCCCATTTCGTCTTCAGCCACACAGGTTCCGCATCCACACTAACCCCTGAAAACCAACGGCCACCTGTTGGAGGCAGGACACCTGGCCCGAACCACCAAGGGTCAGCTTACCAGCAGGGACATCCTCCAAGAACCACGGCAGAGTGCCCCCTGCTCCTTGAAGGGAGAGGAGAGGAACTGCCTGGGGAGAGGCTCTTACCACCCTGCTGGGGCACCGCGCAGTCGGGGAGGAGCAGGGAAGCCCGAGTGGAGTTCCTCACAACTTCTGGTGGTGGCAGCCGCTCTCTGCTCCCACTGCCCGCCCTGCTTCTAGCCTCGCTGGGCCTCTGTCGTGCAGCCTCCTGGTCTCCTGACCTAAACCTCAACTCCCAACCCTCAAATCCGTGCTCTCATTGGTGCCAGGGTGAATTCCCCAAAGCACACACTTCTCTTGAGCCTGCTACCCATGGAGGTCCCAGGTCCAAGGGGACTTCTCACCAAAGAACCCGCCTCCCCGCTCTCTGCCCCACCCCCAGCTCTGTCCCCCTCTTCCCTCCCTAAACCCTCGAACCCTTGCCAGGCGCAGGTAGCCAGGCCCTGACAATGCTGTGTCCCTTCTTACCCAGCACCTCCCTCCATCCCTGTCTTCTGTAACTCTCCTCATTCTTGAAGGCCCAACTTCTTGGAGGCTTCCATTCCTGCTTCCACCCTGGAGATTTTACAGTACAATAACCTATATTTTATTTTTCATACATAAATATTCCATACTCATTATTGGAAAAACTGCAGTTACAGGTGAGCAAAAAAGATAAAGCAGTCGCCTTTAATACCAACACCCAGAGAAAAGCACTATTGAGGGGTTGTTCTTTCTCAAAAATTTAAAATTCCAGTGATGTGAATAATAATAATAATAATACGTAGGTTCATACTATGGGCCTGGCTCTGTGTTGAGCACCTCCATGTGCTTTCTACCCTGTGAGTAGTCACTGTTGTCCCATTTTACAAAGGAGGAAGGTTACATGACTTGCCCAATAAAAAGTAGCCAGTAAGTGGAGTGCAGAGATTTGACCTAAATTTGATTCTAAGAACTGAACCACTGAATCCCAAGTTATGGTGCCCATAAGAATCCTCTTTGTTCTGATGGACCAGAGACTTATTGTTTGTATACTAGATTCTGACATTAAGGAAATAATCTTCTGTTATTAGGCTAGGCGAGTCATGCTACTATAACAAAAACCAGCCCTAAAAATCTCAGTGGCTGAGTTGTTTCTTATTCATACCACAGGTCCAACACTGGTCAGCAGGATCCTTCCATTCACCATGTGCAATTCCTTGAGCTCAGAAAGGGATGAGACTGTTTGAACATCCCCAAGCCCTGGGCTTAGGAGCTGCTACCTGATCCTGGCTCTAGGGATGATGTCATGACCTTTGTGGCCCCTCCATCAGGATTTCTGCCTAGATCTTGAAGCTGCTCTGTGGTTCCAACTGTTGGGGGTTTTTGTCTGTTCATTTTTCTCTACTTGGTAAAGTTAGTTGAGACATTGACTGCTTTTGGAAAAGCTGCCCAGATCCTGAAGTTGCCTTGGAAGGAAATCACACCCATCTTATATTTCATAGGTGTGCAGTTCACATTGGGATTGGATTTATATGGTTTTTACTGAGGACAGCCTGGTTCATTCATTTGTTTACTCATTCATTCCCTCACCTAAGAGATCTTTATTGGGCATCTCCTCTGTGCTAGTCCGAGATGCAGGGTCCTTGTGCTTGAGCTTCAGCCAAGATGAGCAGAGTCTTACTGTAAACAGAACAGAATTTAATTACCCCTAGCATGCACCTTTTTCAGATCCTGGGAGGTTCAGTGATAGCCTACGTATATAATAGGCAGGTCCAGGCATTTTTCTGGGTTTGTTCAGCGTGTTGTGGATGTATTATTTCCTCCAGTGAAAAGCACTGCCATTTTTTCTGCTTTCCTCCCAACTGAATCCTTTCAGCTCTCGTTTTTCCTCCCTTCAGTCTAAAGAAGCAAAAGTTGAACCCATAAACACACCTCCAACTCCATCGCCTCCTTCTGAGGATGCGGAGCTTTCTGGCGAGCCTGTACCTGAGGGGACTCCGGAAACCACCAACCTGAGTGTCGTCATGCACAGAAGCCCTGAGCAAGGCAAGTTCCTGAAGCGCCCTCATCCACGGTGGCCTTTCATGAAGTGATCCTGTGTGCCCAGCCTGTGTGGTGTATGCCACATAGAGCCTCTCATTTCACCTTCCCCTCGGTCCTCCGAGGAAGGAATTATAACCATCCTCATTTTATAGACAAGATGGGGAAATCATGTCACAGAGAAGTTAGGTTACCTAGCTGGGGCACTTCGGCTTGTAAATGGCAGAGCTGCGTTTGAACTTGGATACTTGAACTTTTTTTTTTTTTTTAAGATTTTATTTGTTCATTTGAGAGAGAGAGAGAGAGAGAACATGCACGCACAAGAGCGGGGGAGAGGCAGAAGCTGAGGGAGAAGCAGACTTCCTGCCTGATGTGGGGCTCAATCCCAGGACCCTGGTATCATGACCTGAGCCAAAGGCAGACGCTTAGCCGACTGAGCCCCCCCAGGCACCCCTGATACTTGCACTTTTAACCCTGGACTCTGGAAGGGCTTGAGTTCCAACAAAAAGCTTGCAGTAATTGTTGCTGTTAATTAAATACCTACTGTTTGCCAAGTGTTCACCTACTTCATCTCCAATCCTGACAGTCCATCTCCTGGTTGGTATTATTGGCCAGTATTTTATGGGTGGAAAAAATGATGCTTGAAAAGGTAAGTGACATGCCCATAGTCACACAGCTAGTGAGTGGTGGGATGGACCCCGTACCCAGACCCAACTCCAGAATCCCTTTCCAGCTTCAGCTGCAAACTCCTACTCTCTCTCAGAGGATAAGATCAGGTCATCAGAACTCCTGTGGGGCATGCACGGGAAACTGGTGGCCAGAGAGAGGGACAGGCAGGCACCCACGGGTCAGCAGCAGGCTCAGGGGGAGTGCTGGCCCCCTGGCTCCCCATCCAGGGCTCTCGCCCCTGATCCTTGTCCCCCGACGTGTGCAGAGGACAACCTGGTCAAAACCCAAGATCTGTTGTGACCCCCAGGCAGCAGCATGACATGTGTCCAAGGCTGAGACGGGTCTGTACTTCTTGCCCTTTATCAGAAGGGCAGCAGCTTCAGACTGAGGTTACTCCTCGTGCAAGAACGCCAACATGCAGGGCAGAAAACAAGGACAAAAACCCACTCGGCCTGTAGGAAAGACTGGGTGGGCAAGTTGTCTTTCATGTATATGTACGGCCCTGATGCTGGTGTTGCAGAAGATGTAATGACCCAGCGACGGACTCGTGCTGTACTCCACAAAGAAAGCAGATTTCAAAACTCTATGTCTGCTGTAACCCTAACTTTGAATATATTATTTATACCTATTTATATATAGCCACTTAGAGCTGTGTGTGTGCGTGTGAGAGAGAGAGAGAGAGTAATAGACAACAAAATGTTCTAAGTAGTTATCTGGTGGTAGGATTGTGGGTGGCTTTTCTTTCTTTACTTCTGTGTTTAACAAGCCTTCTGTAATCATATGTATCATTCTTCTTTTCACTCCTGCCATCAGTAAATGCATGTTATTTTAACAACTAAATTGGGAAGTCTGTGGGTGAGAGCAGGTATAGAGTACTGAATAGGAAAAAATTTGTGTCATAATTTCATACAGTCATAATACAAGCATGGAGTCAGGGTGTTCCTGGGGAAGACTGGGGACAGAGCAGACAGTTTGGACAGAAGCTCTTCTCAGCCACCTATTTGCTCTTGGGCCTGGGGCACATTGCTTAATATTTCCAAGCTTCAGATTCTTTTTTTTTTTTTTTAGATTTTATTTATTTGAGAGAGAGTGCATGAGCAGGGGTAGGGGAGAGGGAGAAGCAGGCTCCCTGCTGAGCAGGGAGCCCGATGTGGGGCTCGATCCCCGGATTCCGGGATCATGATCTAAGCTGAATTCAGGCAGCCCCTTAACCGACTGAGCCACCCAGGAGCCCCAAGCTTCAGAGTCTTTACCTGCCCCCTGGGAGTGTTCACAATCCCTGCCTCCCAGGTAGTTTAGAGGATTGAACCCTTCCCAGGGATGTGGAAGTGGTTTATGAATTGTGAATGCTGTTCTCCTGGGTGGAATTAGGATCTCTGAGGAGGGGCAAGGAGCCGGCAGAGGCTGCAGGGCCAGGCAAGAGCCTCTCCTAGACTGGGGGGTGAGTGCAAAGGAGGTGGGAGCCAAATGCAGACTGGGACGGAGATCCAAGCACTGCTCGTCTGTTTCCCTGCGATCAGCCAGACTCCTTTACTGGCAGAGAAAAGGCCAAACAGAAACAACAGAGCTTGCTGAAGTGTTCCTGTTCTTCTTATTGGGTGGACAGCCCAGATGGTGAGGAGAAAGGGGCCTGAACCCTGAGCCCTGTCCCCGTCTAGGAAAAGCTACTTAGTAGTTTTATTCCAAGCTTTCCTGACACCATCTTGGCCCAGGGCACCCCTCCCTCCACCCCCGAACTTAACATCCTCCAAGGATGGTTTCCTCAGAGGTTTGGAGTCTGGCCTGCTGTTTGCACAGCACCCCCTGGTGGCCAGATTCAGGAGGCTGAGAGAGTGGTGATGCCGGCAGGGGATCCTTCAGCATTTTCCCCTGCCCACACTGTTCTCACCGTGGGACATGAGTTAGTACAGCATGGGTGGATATGGCCTGACATGGGGACAGGCTGACCTGGCTTCAGGGCCCCTCCCAGTCACTTACTTTCTGTGGGACCCTGTTCCTCCTCAGCAAAACGGGGTTAATCCTAAAAAAGTGCTAATGTGCGCATCAGAGTAGCACACACACGCCACGGGGTGATAGTGGGCGGCCTGAAAACTTGGGATTCCTGTCCTGGCTCTGCTCGCCCAGCTGTCAGGTGGTGGGACGGTCCTTGTGGGTAGGGCAGATGGGCTAGCGGGAAGATTAAGTGAGGTACTGCATGGGACAGGCATACATTCATATTAGTATAATTTCTTTTTCTTTGCTTTAGGACTCTACTTGTTTATTTTTTTTTATTTTAAAGATTTTATTTATTTATTTATTTGACAGAGCACAAGCAGGGGGGAGCGGCAGACAGGGGGAGAGGGAGAAGCACGCTTCCCGCTGAGCAGGGAGCCCGATGTGGGACTCGATCCCAGGTCTCTGGGATCATGACCTGAGCCGAAGGCAGACACTTAACCGACTGAGCCACCCAGGCGCTCCCCACTTGTTTTTTAAATTGCAAAAGAGGGGCGCCTGGGTGGCTCAGTCGGTTGAGCGACTGCCTTCGGCTCAGGTCATGATCCTGGAGTCCCGGGATCGAGTCCCGCATCGGTCTCCCTGCTCAGCGGGGGGTCTGCTTCTCCCTCTAACCCTCTTCCCTCTCGTGCTCTCTGTCTCTCATTCTCTCTCTCTCAAATAAATAAATAAAATCTTTAAAAAAAAAATTGCAAAAGAGATATGTGCTTGTGGTAACAGTTCAATCAATGCAGAGTTGTATGAACCCTCCAAAATAGTAATTTCCTTTCCTATCCTCTGGGGAAACCAGTATTAAGCATTGTGGGTTAGCCAACTTTGTGTGGTTTATCTGCACACACATATGTATCTATATATTACAAATGTTATTTAATAATTGTGTTAGTTATGTAGTGATGATTATATATATAATGATCATAAAACTTGTATGCTCAAATAGTTTTTTTCCCTTTACACACTTAGAACCACACTGACAGTGAACAGTTATGAATGGCTAACTAAATTGCTAACTCTATTTAGGGACTGTCCTCAATGCTTTTTTTGTATTAACTTATTTAATCCTTGTAGCACGTAACCTTCCAAACAACCTTGTAAAATAGGAATTGTTGTTCCCAATTTATGGATGAGGAACCTGAGGCCCTGATTGAATGACTCGCCACAGGTCACGTTCCTAGTAAGCGGCAAAGCCGGGCTCCCACCCCACAGGTGGTGCCGGAGCCTGTGATCGAAGCACAGTGTGATACTGCCCTTCAACGTCGTTTTTTCTGCAACTTGGTTTTTTCCCCTCTTAATCCTGTATTATGGACATCTTTTCAAGTTAATAGGTAAAAAGATACTTCATCCTTTTCCAAGATTACAAAATGCAGTTATCAATTACAGAATGCCTGCTTCCGTAGGGTCTGGTGAGGTCCTGAATGACACACTGGAGGGAGTTCATACTATGGACGGTGCCCCCGTTACAGATGTTGGCTCCGGGGATGGGGCCTTCATTCATGTCACTGAAGAGGTGAGTGAATGGTAAATTTCATTTGCTAAATCAGTAGTCAGTTTGTTTGCTCATTTCAGACTTGATGGTGACTTGTGTTAGGCATGGTAAAGAATCAAGAGGGTTTCCGCTGAACATCATGGTACAGAAGAGAAGAGACCAGGGCCCAGGAGGCTCTCCAGGGAAGCACCAGGACGGGGAGGAGATGTAGTACAAGCTGGTCCTCACACCTTCCCCGGGGGATGCGTGCCGGGTCCTCACCACAGTACCCACCTCCCTCCTGCTCATTTGTGAAGACACACAGCCTTTTCCTTTGGAGCCCCTTTAAGACAGAACCAGATTGATTGCACACGTGCATGTCCACCATGGTTATGTAATTGGCTTTTACACCTGCAAAGCCAATTTTTTAAATGCTAGACACAATAAGGTGTGAAATTAAAGCAAAGGTCTTCTTCTCACAACAACCGCGGCTAAAAACCCACAGGTTCAGCTCATTCTTTCTGCTATCCTGGGATGAAACTCAGGCACTTCTCATGCTCTCCCAGTCATGACCTGATAATAACCTATTTTCACAGCTACTTCCAAAGTCCAGTCCAGCATTATATCAAAATTTAGTCCCTTTGTCTCCCAAATTCCAAGGAACACATATCCAGCTCACAAATGGTTTGTAGTGGGGAGAAGGGTGGAGAAAGTCCCAGCACACTGATGATTGTCTCCAAAGGAATTCTTTACCTTTTCCTCTATAGCCCAGAGGCAGGTGGCAGACTAACCCTGATAGAACTGATTTCCTTTCTTGTCTCTTAGTACATCCCACACAAGTGGTCTGGTTCCTGCTTCTAGCATGTGAAGTGTACTTAATTGTACAATGAATTAATTGTTCTTAATTATATTTTAGTGTAAGCCCTTTGGGACTTCAGCTGAATTTGAGGCAGAAAGAGTCTCATTTTAAAACCCGTGACATCATCTTTTCTCTCTTTTTTGGGGGGAAGACAATAATTCTGCAAGGATTCATGTTGTAGGAAAAAAGGTTCTGTGGTCAAATACATTTGGGAAATTCTCCACTTTATATCCTCCTTATTATAGACCCCTTAAAAATCCCACAGCAAGGAAATCTAACTTTGATAAGCTTAGTGGTAAAGAGCTACTTTTTGCAAAACAAAACAAAACAGAATGACCCCCACGCCCCTCAAATTTAAAAGAGAAAAAAAAAAACCTTTGGAAACTGAGATAAAACATAGTTTGATGACCCTAGCAGCCAAACTGCTGTTTCCATTTCATGCATCTGCTGTGTAACCTCCAGAGAAGGTTATGCTTTTCCCAAGGAAACTGAGTCCCAGGGAGAGAAGAATCATGGGGTTCAGTATGGAGAAGGCTGGGGAGGACAGAGTTGTTGCCTGCATATCTCTGAATCTCCATCAGGGGCAAAAGCATTCGACTTGTTTTTATGGCTTCTGGATGGGCACATAGGGAAGGTCACAGGGAGACAGATGTGTCTAGATAGACATGTCTGGAGCTGGAGCAGGCTGACTCAGGAGACAGGGATCTCCCGGTCACTGGGCATGTGCAAACAGATGCTTGGAATCAAACAGGAGATACAGTTGCCTTGCGACCTCTCCTGTCCCTGGGATTTTGTGATTCTGGGAATGTCGTGGGGCTGGGGTGACGTCATAGATAAGAAAGTGCGTTGAGAGAAGGAAGCTACAGAAATGCAAGCTGATAGAGAGAGGGGTGTGAGCAGTCTTTTCTGTCCAGCGACAGGCACACTGATCAGAGCCATGGGCCCAGTGACATGGTCCCTCATGATGCTTTTATTTCAGGGTGTGCATGCCGAAGAAGGTTTGGCAGCCACAGCAGCAGTCGGGGAGGCTGAGGTGCCCACCAGCACCGCCGGGGAAGCAGAGACCAGTGGTGTGCCCACCGGGGGGCCAGTCCTCTCCTTGTCCACTGAGGTCATGGGGGAAGGGGTCACTCTGGTAAGTAGCTCAGAGCATATGCTGTTTCTGGGGGAGGGTGGGCATCTCAGGTCTTCCTTATCAGTCGGCAGAATGCGGAGTGATGGCCTTGTGGGATCAAGTCTGAGTGGACACTGATTTGGAGGCTGAGGGGTCTGTTGCCTCATTCAGCAGATGTTTGCGGAGTGATGTGTTATGCTGGGCACAGGTAAATCCGATAGGGCAGTTCCTGGGGACAGAGCTGTAAGAGGCAATAGGAGAAGCACCGAAAAGGGCCCAGAACCCAGACTTGGGGCTCCTGGAAGCCTTCCTGGGGAAAGAATGCCGAAGGCGAGACCATGGGGATGCCTAGAAGGAGCCTGGCAGCTGGGAGTGAAACAGGTGCTCTAGGAGGCGGGCCAGCAGGAGCAGAGGCCTGGCGGCATCAACAGGAACATGGAAAGAGGGTCCATGTGTGAACAAGGGGGTGCGGGGAATGTGGCTAGAGAGGCCCCTGAGGCCCTGGGAGCCATGAGTTGGAGCTGGAGTGTGTTCAGAAGTGGGGAGTCACTGAAGGGCTAGTGACCTAGTCAGAGTAGGACTGAGAAAGTGGAGGAAGAGTGGGAGAAGCAAGCCTGGAGGCCGGGGGCTGGGATCGGAGGCTGGGTCGTGGTCCGGGCAACGGGTGGTATTGGCTTGCTCTGGGTTTGGTCAGCGATGTCGTATCCTGCCAAGAGTCTCAGTGAGTAAAGGCCTGGAAGGCACCCAGCGGATCTGCCACGGTGACTGTTGGTGACCGTGGGGAGCGCAGGGTTGGAGATGCGGGAGGGGTGGAAGGAGAGTGAGACGAGCAAGTGGTCAGTGAGGGCAGCCAACTGCTCTGATGAGAAAGAAGGCTGTGCATTGTGAGACCCTGGGTTTTGCCCCAGCACCACGACTGGGCGTTGGTGAAAGTCCCACTCCTGGCAGGGACTGTGGTGGGCAGCACCGAGGGTGGCGGGGAGGAACGGGGTGAGCCACGCAGGTGGCACGTTGGCCAGGGGCTCACGCCCCGAGTGGTGTGCGAGGCGTGGGTTTGTGCATGGGTGCCACGTTCGCGGCATCGGCACAAGGTGAGGTCTGGGGGTGCAGGCGCCCGAGGGGCCCGGGCTGTCGGCTACCTCCAGCCGCACTGACCACAGCGGACCGCCGACAGTTCCCTCGCGATGTCTTCCTGTTCAGGGTGCAGATGCTGAAGAAGGCTCGGCAGCCGCTGCAGCTGGGGAGGCTGAGGTGCCCGGGAGCTCCGCCGGGGAAGTGAAGGCCGGCAGTGTACCCACGGCGGGAGCCACCCTCTCCACGGCCATCCAGGACGCAGGGGAAGGGGTGACATGGGTGAGGAGTGCCAAGTGCCGCAGGGTCAAGGTCATAGCTGGAGCAGGTCCTGACCTTCTCGGAGGACCAGTCTTCATTCTGCTCAGCACATCCAGAGGAGCCTGAATGGGGCACTTCTCTGAAGGGGAGCTGGCCGAGGCCTGGGTACACGTGTGCTGGAGCCCTGTTGGCTCCGGCACTGCACACGCTGACAGCCCCAGCAGGCCAGTGGGGAGCCAGGCTGGGGGCAGGTGGAGAGCCAGTGAGGTGGGGTGGTCCCAGGGGCCCACTCCCTCCACCAGGGTGGAGGAGCCTGGCTGTGAGCGGAAGAGGTGATGGTGGGCACAGCCGTGGCCGATTTCTGCACACAAGCATGAGCTGTCAGAGGGCAGAGGAAGTTCAGGGTCAAGGGCAGGGCCAAGCCTCCTCAACCCTCTCCTTAGGCAGCATGGAGATAGCGTTCCCAGCTCGTGAAGGCAGGATGCAAGTATTTCAGGACACCTGGCAGGTCTGTCCCTAAAATGTCATTACAGTGGCAGTCCTGCAAGTTTTCAGACTCAGACTCAAACCTGGACTCCTCGTGTCCACTCTTGTGTTCCCACCTCAAAAGATTGGGACCACTGCCCCCCAGTCGGCCAATCCAGGATTCTCTTCCGTCTTCCTTACTCCCCACATCCTGTCAAGCATCAGGTCTTGTTGATTTTTCTACCTAAATCCACTATGCACCTGCCTTCTTCTACCATTCCCCAGTGCCAGCCTGTGGACTGAGACAGCACGTCCCCAGTCCAGACAATGGCTGAGGCCCCTGCCTCACCTCCTCCATCCTCTCCCGCGGCTCTTCCTGTGGGGGCAGCCCTCTGCTTGGAGCTTCCCATTGCCCTCACTGCAGACTCTGCTCCCCAACCTGGCCACAAAGCCTTTCAGGGTCTGGCCTGGCCAGCCTTGGTGACCACATCTTGGGTCACTGTCTCCCTGGCTCTCAGTTCTCCCACCTCACTGACCTTCCTTCAGTTTCTTAAATGTGCCCGGACCCTCTCCTCCCTGCCTAGAACCTTTTCTTCCCTCTGCCCTGCCTTTAATCCTGGCTGATCCTTCAGAGTTCAGCTCAAATACCACTTTGTCAAGGAAGTACCATCCCAGGAGCACCTGGGTGGCTCATCGGACACTTATCCGGCCAAAGCCCTCAGCAGCGGTGTGCCGTAGGGGCGTCCGGGGGATGGGTGCCCTGACCTGAGAGGTGCGCTCCAGCCTGGGGTTCCGGGGCTCTGTGGGCCAAGGCAGGTCTTGCATGAGCAAAGCTATGGCCATGTGAGTTATCTATCTGGTGGCCCGGTGGCTTCCTCCCCTGCACTCACACACCTGCTGAACCAGGGGGTGGAAGAAGTGGCCGATTCTCATGCCATTTTTGTTTCAGGGTGCAGTCGGTGAAGGAATGTTCACAACACCAGCCGCTGCAGCAGAAGTGCCCCTCAGCACTTCTGAGGAAGAGGAGACTCGCGGGGTCCCCACAGGTGGCCTGGTTCCCCCAACACGCACAGTGGCCCCTGAGCAAGTGGTCGCTTCTGTAAGTGTCTCCTAGCATTTTCTGTCTGGCTCACAGCAGGGAGAGGGGTCAGCGTCGTGAGACAGGAACAGTCGCTGGCCTCCCCAGCAGCGAGTCCAACACTCGGCTTTGGCCGAGCACAGATCACAGTCGGCGCCACTGGAGGGAAGCAGGGTGCCTGGAAGCAGGTCAGGGAATCAGGTGCCCAACCCTGCTACTTCCTAGCTTTGTCCAAGAATTTTCTCGGAGTGCTGCCAAGTCAGAAGGGGTTGCTAGGGACAGGGGAAAGGAGGAGATGCACGTGTGGGAGGGGGATTATGAGTCTGGGCTCCTGTGACCCTGTCACACGTAACGACGGTTGAAAGTAAGCAAGTGTTGTGAAATTGGACTAGCACCGTAAGAATGACAGTCACCCAGACTCTCGGGCAGCCTGCTGCGCATTGCGTCACAGGCCAGGTGAGGTGATTCCTCTCGTTGGTTTTGCTTTTCAGGGCTCTGGTGATGAGGAGGACCTAGCAGCAGCCGCAAGAGAGGAGCCCCTGCCCAGCACTGTGGCCGAAGAGCTGGACAGCAGTCCCCCTGAGGGGCCCCCACTGCCCATACCCACAGTGGCTTCTGAAAGAGGGGTTACTCTGGTAAGTGGCACAGAGGCACAAAGATTTGGCGTGGCCTGTCTTACCGAGGAGAAAAAGAAAGGCCAGAGTCCTGGGAGGGACCTGCCCCTGGCTTGCTTAGAGGCGGGTTTCATTTTGGTTCATAAAGTTCCAGATTTGGGCATTTGAGGGGCATGCAACCTGGGAACACACAAGGAAGCTGCAGGGTGCAGAGGAAATAGCAAGAGGTAAAAAGGTGGGGCACTTGGCTTCATGTCCCAAATTGTCCCCAAATTCAAATGAGAACTTTGTAACAGGCAGAGCTGGCCAAAGATGCCAAGACCCCATCTAGATGTCACGAGGGCTCCATCCCGGATTCAGGGAAGCTTGTAAGATTCATCAGGGACTCGGGGCTGAGTGGGGGTGACTGACACATTCCTTCCCCCATGAGCTTCTATAATTGCGGGCCATACCTGTGTGACCTCATGCAAACCCCTTCTTATCTTTGGGCCTCATTTCCTCCTCTTTATAGGAGGATGGCTGTGAGGTCAAGTCCGAGGATGCAGGTCTGGGAATGTTTGGAAAGCTCTGTACGCATGCCCGGTGTTGTCCCCACTTAAGGGCTATAACTTTGTGTTTTAGAACTGGGAACCCCAGAGCTGGTTCTTAGCATGGGTGGGTGTGAATCTGAATGGAGCTGCTCTTCAGGGGTGAATATTTTTAAGGGACAGTCTGGTGACCAGAGTCACAGCTGGTCACCTGCACTTTCAAAGCCTTGAAGCTCAGGCTACAGGCATCACAGCAGTCCAGGACTAACCCCCTGTGGTTGTCTAGTTAAACCAGCCGTGTTGGTGGCCGTGCTGATGGGCTTACTACTTCTGAGAAGCTCTTTGCTAACACATATTAACAACCATGAAGCTACATAGTGTTGACCCAGAAGCTTCTGTTCTGGGAATTAATCCTAAAGGAGATGGTCTGCTATGTAAAAAGGCTTGGTTGTATACCAATTTGCTAATCTCCATATTACCCGTAATAGAAAACAAATTGGACACGGTTTAACTAGACAACCGTAGGGGGGTTGATCGAGTAAAGTATATTCAAATAATGGAACGTTATGCAGCTCTTAAAATTATACTTGTTAGGAGTATTTAATGGTGGGGGAAATACAACCTAAGGTTAGATGATAAAAGCTGGTTATAAACTTGAGTACATTGTGTGGTCTTAACTATCTAAAACTACGCTCACGCACAAATTCTGGAAGGAAATCCCTGAATGTTAGCAGTTGTGACTTCAAAGTGGTAGGCCTGGGGAGGCCTGGTAGGTTCCTAATACATTTTGGTGTTTTCACCATGGGCGTTAATGACTCTTACAGTGGGAATTTGTAAAAGCTCTAAGAAGAGTCCAGGCAGGGGGGAGAGCAGGGAAAGGGAGAGCCAAACAGATAGTAGTTCATCCTGGCACGTGACTGATGAAGACAGATCACCCTTAAGTGCCCATGTCAGGAACTGTCAGTGAAGGGAAATGGAAGCCTCAGTTCATGAGCCAATGGTTTAAAAGCACAGTAGGGACAGCCAAGAGAGCACCCACTCCAGAATGTCCTTAGGATCCCTTTGACTCTCAGTCACCCACGCCAGTGGGGGAAAGAGACATCAAAGTCTGGCTGTGCCACAGCTCTTCTCATCTCTCTCTCTGTTTACTCATACGTGACATGGGGTCCTAGTACCTACCTCTTGGGTTGTGGTGAGGATTAACTGAATCAGTGCATGGAAAAGTTCTTCTAACGCATGGCATACACCCAACCAATTACGTATATAGAATTATGTTGCAGATGAGGCCCAGAGAGGGTTAGGGGTTTGCTCATAGTCACACAGCTCCCAGGAGATGAGTAGGGGTGAAAGCCTTAGTGTGTGGACTTTGTCCCTTTGTGTTTTGCACTGTCCCCAGCCTCCCCGTCCAGACATGAGCCGGAAGCTGGTCAGCAGGGTCCAGGTGGTCCAAATGAGGTCACTCCATGTCTAAGGTCTTCCCACTAGTCACTTGGGGAATACTTATCAAGAGCCTAGTATCTGCTGGATGTGAGGGGCATGGCAGAGGCTAGGTGGCCACACCTCTGTGCAGGGGCTCGCTGCAAGCCCCCAGGCCACCCTCAGCTTGCTAAAGGGCTCACACATCAGAGCTGAGCTGCTCTGTCATGTCTTTGGGACAGACCAGGTTTCAGCGACATCTTGTCTTCAGCTCAGAGAGGCCATGTGGGAAAGAAAGGGCAGGTTGGGCCCCAAGCAGAAAAGGCTGGTGCTGTGACCATTCTGGAGAATGCATTGGTTCTGGTCAGGTGCCTGGAGCCTGCTATTTGGGGTTAACCTATTCAGTTCTGATCAAGGAAATAGCAGAGGCAGTAAGAGGACCGAGCCCCAAAGAGACTGAATTGGGAGTCTGGGAGAACCACAAAAATGGCGTGGGGCTCAGTTCTGGCCACCTCTCTTTACCGACTGGAGACCTTGACCTCTGCAGGCCTCAGTTTCCCCATTTGTAATCACAGGGTCCTTCCAATTCTGGTGTTTTCTGTGGCTAAGCTCCAGCCTCTGCCCCTGATTTTCTTTCTGGGAAAGCTTGGGCACACAGGAGCTTCAGAGACCTGGGTTTGCTTCTTGGTAGTTGTAGGATTCTCGGAGAGGTCTTACCACTTCTGTGCTCCAATTTCTCCATCTGTAAAATGGGGGTGATGATGACTACCCCCTCGAGGATGCTGTCAGAATAAAATGAGGTGACGTTGGTGGGAATGTTTTGTCTGGTGTCTGTCACCACAGAATGGTAACAGACTCCTCTTGAAGCAGCGGTGACGTTAAACTGTCACCGAGGGGCTGTGCCCACAGTAGCCAGGACCAGGGCCCCCAGGAGCCCCACAGCCTGCGGAGGTCCCACCCACAGAGCCTGCTCTGGGGACCTTTTCGTCTGCATGCTGGTCCTGGTCCTCACCCCCCTCCCCCCGCGCCACCTCCCCCAGGATGGAGGGTGCTCTGGCCCTGGTGCCCCATGAGGCTGCTGGTGGGGATGGAGGGGAAGGAGGGCTTGGGGTCTGGGGAGGGTGGTGTCCTCACTTTGAGCTGGCCTCCTCAGTGGGCTTCAGATGCCAACAGGGTTCCGGGAAGCAGTAAGGGAGTCTGAGGAGGGCATCACACCACACAGGTTTTGTGCGAATTCACTGTTCATGTTTCCATTCCTTTTGGTGGCTCAGGCCATTCTGTCACCTTTTTTATCAGAGCAGCCATTTCTCTGGACTCTGTGACAGCTAAATGTCCCCTGGGATGCTGCCCTTTCTCATTTTCTGCTTCATTTTTCTTTTCTCCTTCTCTTTTCCAAGTGGGTGTTCCTGTCACTCTGAAGCATTTCCCGAGCACCGGCCAGGGGCCAGGCGCTGGAGCCTGGAGGTGATTCAGGCACCAGGCCTGCCCTCCAGGAGCCCCCAGTCCCAGGGAGGCAGGCCTACGAGCAGTAAAGGCTCTGGACAGGCTGTAAGGCTGGTGGGAGGAGCAGGGTGGCCAGGACCCACTTCAGAGGGAGACACATTGGGCCTGGCTACCATGCTCTCACAGGACCTGGACCGGGGTGTCGAGCGGGGGGACCCTAGGTGAGGGGATGGGGAGGGTCCCTACTGCCTCCTTCCTTCCATCATTCCCATCCATGCTCTGCATGTGGTGCAGAAACGAAGGGCTCCTGAACCCAGAGTGGGTCAGGTGCCCCTTGGGCTGGCTCATGAAGATCAAAGCCTTCTTCACCCCTGCATAAGTCCCATCTTAAACATGAGTAATTTCTACAGGGAGGAGAGGGGACAGTGTGTGTGTGTGTGTG